TCCTAATCATGGGAGGTGTAGTACCTTAATTGGACAGCAGGTGGCAGCATCGCATCAAACCGTCGCTCTTCCGTCCCAGAAACAGCAGCAGAAGAAAAGCTTTTGGCTTTTTTCGTGTCTGTTCAGATATTCTCGGACGCGGAGTCAAACTGCGGGATTGAAGAGGGATTATTTTTCAGTGACATAACTTCGCGGCGGGCCTCGGTGAGTTTCAGTGTGTTTTGCGTCTTTCTGTCGAACCGGGGCGGTTCTGAAACCCTGCAGCGGGTCAGGAGGCTGAAGTTGAGCGGCCTTAACCTTAACATCCAGCATGGTGGTCCACAGGAATTTAACTAAACATAACAAAGGTCTGAGACTTTATTACCAGACACAAAGAGCTACAGCAGGTAAAATACATTTTTCAAACCAGTGAAGTTTAATAAATATTGAAGTTATTTGTAATTTTTTTTAAACTACTTTTTAAAAAATTAATGGGAAAAGGCATTTATTTTGATAACAGGGCTGTAAAGCACATTAAGAGACCCTAAACCAAAAGAAACGTTAAAGATGGTCACCATGGTAACCACACACCCGTCTGCCACCCTCTGATTGAGGCAGGCAGACACACAGACTGAAAATTAAGCCTCAAACAAACAGTCGCTGCGCGAAGGCTGTAAGTCTTTTCTTAAAAATACCTGAACTGTGAGCGACAAAACACTCTCACAGTCACACACGTGAGTTTTTATGGTTCTACTGTGTTTTATGTTGGAGATATGGTAAACTACACTTCCAGTTTTGAAGAAGATATTTTGAATTCTACAGGTGTTTGTGTGTGTCCTCTGCAATCTGGGAGGATTTTAGAGAGAACCAGTTTTTCATTCATTCATTCAACCTTTATTTATTCAGGTTAATCCCATTGAGCCTCAGGGACTCATTTACAAGAGAGACCTGATTTTAACAAAGAGTGATGACAATCGTGGACAACAATAGACATAAAGGACGTGTACAAATAAATTTTTTTAACAAGTGAAAATAAAATGGTATTTAAAAGAAAATGTAACAAAAAAAACGTCTAGATTGTAGGGCAGTGTAGAAAACTAAAAACAAGAACATGTCTGCATTGTTTTTTTGCCATGAACGTAACAGATGTTTGAAGCCACTTAGGTCAAGGTTGAGAACTTTAGATCATTTTTGTAAGATATTCCAGAAAACGGGAGCGGAGTAGGAGAACGCCCTTTTGCCAAGTTCAGTTCGCACTGAGGGAACACTGCAGGTAATAATGTCCTGAGAGCGCACGCTGTAGCTGCACTCACGCAGAGACATGTATGAAGGCAGCAGACCAAGAAGTGATTTAAAGATGAAAATGTACCAGTGAGAGAGTCTGTGTGAAGTTAATGATGACCAGTTAACCAGTGAATACAGGGTGCAGTGGTGGGTATGGTAGTTCCAACCAGTTGTGAATCTTAGCGCACCATGATAGACAGCATCCAACATCTGCAGGGTGCTTGTAAATAATGTCACCGTAATCACTGGAGGGAAGGAAAGTTGCAGTCACAAGACGTTTCCTAGCATTCAGAGTTAGACGGGATCTGTTTCTGAAAAAGAAACCCAGTTTAACTTTCAGTTTCTTTACTAGGTTTTCCACTTGGAGCTTAAAAGAGAGATGTGAGTCGACCAATATACCCAAATATTTATAGGAATCAACAAACTCAATAGGGACACCATTTGAGGATAAAATCAAAGGAAGAACTGCTGAGACCGACTTCCTGTTTGAAAAATCATCCCTTTGGTTTTGTCGGCATTTAAGACAAGTTTGAGATGGAACAAATCTGACTGGATGATGTCGAAAGCAGATTGCAAAAGCTGGAAAACCTTAGCAACTGTTTTAGCTCGACAATAAACAACTGTGTCATCAGCATAGAAGTGTAAGGATGCAAGTATTACAGCAGTGAGAGACACACTAGGTGAAAGAAAACAAAAATCCCTTTGTTTCGATGTATAATTTGTATTAATAAGGCGTTTGTTCACAAAATATATTTATTTTTCAAAAAAGCTCAAAAGTTTAACAGTCTGGAATAATCTGTTAATATCATCAAATTTGAACCGTTACAGCAGTTCTGTCTTGTAAAGTTCAGCCACAACACAGTAAAAGGTTCCACTTAAAGTCAAATTCACCTTTAATCAGCATGAAAACATGAATGAATAGTTGTCTCCAGTCAAACTCCGATGTCCACCTTAAAACATTTCTAATCTGTAAAACTTTGATTTATACAAAATAAACTGGAGCTGGAGGGGAAAAGTTTTATTTTGATAGTTCTATAAAAATAAAAAATAAACTTTTTGCTTTTCTACATGCTTTACTAGAAGTCAGAAAACCAAATAATTTCAAGTCCGCACTCTGATTTGTTTAAGCTGTAAAGATCCAGGTGAGCGTCGGTCATCCAGATGTGTCGGCGGACCCTCAGAGCAGCTTCTCCCCGCTGAAGGTCCATAATCGTTTGATTTCTTTTTTTATTGTTTTGCGGTTGTGTTCTCAGACAAAATGTTTGCGCTCCGGACGTCGTGTCGACGCTCGCCTCTGCAGTTTCTCAGGCTGTTTTCGACCCAAACGTTACCCACCCTCACTCTGTTCACCAAGGTAACACTTTCCACGCTCTGTACTGAGGTTTACAAACCACAGGTTGATGTTTGAACGTAACAGATTCTGTTAAGGAAGGAACTTTAAATTAACACGGTTTATGTGTGCATGAATGCTGGATTGTCTTGAGTCTGTTTAAAGTCGTTCTTCTGGACCTAAAGCTGCCTTGTGTCCGTAGGATCCATGTCCTCTGTGTGACGAAGCTAAAGAAGAGCTGCAGCCGCTCAGACACAGGGTGAGGCTCGAACAGACAGAATGTTCCTGCTCTTAGTCCTGCCATTTATTTCCTGTATTAGCGTCGATGATGTTTTTGGAACTGGACCTTCTTTCGTTTACAGCCCCGACTCTTAAAAAAAGTTGAGACCTTGTGTAAAATCTAAATTAAATCTGGATGCAGTGATTTTCAAATCTCATGAATCTTTTTTTTTTTTTTTATTCACAAACGATCAAAGTGATCAAATCCTACGCTGAAATTAAAATGGGACCACTTTTAGAGAAAGTAATGAAAATTTTAAATTTGACAGTTCCAGGTCCATGTTTCTTCTGTGAAGCAAATGCCCAGGACCAGAGGAGACCAGGTGGAGGTTTTGGAGGGAATGTTGTCCTGTTCTGGTCAGATGGAGGACTCTAGCTGTCCTTCAGTCCTGGATCTTCTCTGCTGGATGAGAGCAGATGTTCTAAAACCTGGAGATACTTTTCTGCATTGATGGAGTCTTTCCAGATGTGGAAGCTGCTCATGTTGGAGGCACTAATGTACCCCCATACCATCAGAGAGGCACCTATTTGTCCTGTGAGCTGATCCAGGCTGGATGTTCCTTCTCCTCTTTAGTATGTGGCATCCATGGTTTCCAAACAGAACTTCAGATTTGGACCCGTCTGACCTTGGGACAGTTCTGGACTTCACCTCAGTTCATCTGAAATGAGCTCTGGTCCAGAGAAGACGGCAGCGGTTCTGGATGTGTTCACATCTGACTTCTTCTTTGCCTGATAGAGCTTTAAGCAGCACCTGTGGATGAACTGTGTGTGAACAGAACCAGACTTGGTTTTACTGCAGTGGCACCCGAGGGCCTCGTCCTTTGAGCTCAGATTTCTTCAGATTCTTCTAATCTGTGGATCAGATTATGAACTGGAGATGATGGAGATTAAAGTCTTTATTCAGGAACTTTACTGTGAAGTTGTTCCTCTAGTTTTAGACAGACTGCTGAACCTGTGTCCATCTTTACTTCTACAGTCTCTGTTTGTCTCCAGTCCTCTGACCTGCTGATCATTCACCTCGTTAGACTGAATGTTGGTTCTGATCCGGACCGCTGACTGTTGGACTTCTGTTCCTGGAACGACTTTTTAAAGATGTCTTGCTGACATCAAATTCAGATTTAACTTCTTTTTTTGGGGGGAGGGGCTTATATAATAAGCATAATTTATCAATTTAAACATGTTTACAGTGTTGTGTTCTTCACTAAATTATTTGCTTTTATTTACATTTTACACAAGGTTCCATGTTTTTATGGATTCAGGTTGTTCAACGGGTCCCTGCAGTTTACAAACACTTACCGTTTGTTATTTAAAAATGAGCTGATGTATTAGATTTAAAAATTAATTGACTTGTCTTTAGTTTTCTATTTAATTAAATGATGGACTAATTTTATTCTCAAAGCAGTGTGAAATGGAGTTTTTGAGTTTAGGAAACATTTATTCACTGTAACTGTGGCCTCAAGACGCGTGTCTTTGTGTCCTCCAGTTTGTCCTGCAGCTTGTGGACATAAGTCTACCTGAGAACAGGCACTGGTTCGACAGGTACAGGTGGGACATACCCGTGTTCCACCTGAACGGGCAGTTTGTGATGAAGCATAAAGTGGACGTCGCCCAGTTGGACAAGCTGCTGCAGGACGTTGAGAAACAACAGATGTGATTAGACGTTTTTTAAAATATTTATGATTGTCATTAAACTGTCCTGATGAATACACCTGGTGTTAATTTGTGTCTTTTTAAATGCTTCGGCTCAAACAGCCAATAATTACAGCAGCTGTTGGCAGCAGCAAGTGTGTATTACTTCAAAGTGATGTATCTTTTTTTTAAAGAGACCAGTTAATAGCACAGATTTAGTCATGGCTGCTTGTGTTGGGTTTGCCACCCGGTAACTGTTTAATAATGACGTTGAGGTAGCTCAGCGGTCAGCGCCGCGGTCAGGGTTCAAGGTTCTTTATTGTCATTCGCATCACGTGGTACATGAGGTGGAACGAAATTGTGTACTCAAGGTCCCAGTTACACCCAAAAATAGCAAAAATATAAACTATAAAAGAAACTTATACAAGGATCTAAGATATATGCTAAACACGAATAATGTAATATAATATGGTGTATTAAACAGCAGCCTGAACATGAGTCTGTTGTGAGCAGATGGGTATGAATATAACATCTTAAAGGCAAGAAATCAGCAGCACGGATAAAGTCACATGTCACCAATTAAAGTGGCATTACAGTGTATTTCCTGGTTAGAGATTTATGAGTAAACAGCTTCAAGGTAGAAGCTGTTCCTCACTCTAGTGGTTCTACACTGGAGTGGGGCAAAAAGTGTGTGTGCTGGGTGAGTGGGGTCCTTCATGATGCAGGTGGCTCTCTTCCTGCATCTGGAGGTGTAGATGTCTGTGATGGTGGGGAGACAGACTCCAACATCTTCTGTGCAGCCTTCACCACTCTCTGCAAAGCTTTTCTTTCTGCAGCTGTGCAGCCTCCATGCCACACGTTGATGCTGGAGCACAGGATGCTCTCCACTGCACACCTGTAGAAGGAGGTGAGGACTGAGCTTCCCAGACCAGCTCGTCTCAGCCGTCTGAGGAAGTAGTCTGATGAGCTTTCTTGATCAGGCTGGTGGTGTTGTTGCTCCAGCTGAGGTTGTCATTCAGGTGCACACCCAAGTACTTGTAGCTGGAGACCACTTCCACCACAGATCCTCCTATGTGCAGGGGGGGGGGAGTGGGGGCTTCTCCTTCTGAAATCCACGATCATCTCCTTCGTCTTCTACACATTGATGTGAAGGTTGTTCTTCTTGCACCAGCTCTCCAGGTGTTCCACCTCTTGCCTCTGGCTGGACTCATCGTTGTTTGTGATGCATCCAATCACTGTCTGCAAACTTTACAATGTGACAGCCTGGATGAGTGGATGCACAGTCATGCAGAGTGAACAGGAGGGGGCTCAGCACACAGCCTTGAGGGGAGCCAATGCTGAGGATTATGGTGGAGGAGGAGTTGTGTATCCTCACAGACTGCGGACTGTTGGTTGAGAAATCCAGGACCCAGTTGCATAAGGAGGGGCTTAGTCCTAGTGTGGGTAGTTTGTCCTGAGTCTTTTAACCCTGAGGACGCAAGTTCAAACCCAGGTTGCACTGAGAAGAGCATCCGGTGTGAAAGTTTACTCTGCACTGGCAACCCATGCAGAAGGGAGCAGCTGAAAGAACAAGAACAGTTTATTAACGAGGCTTTTTATCTTCCAGTTCCAGAGACCAGTTTCTGGGTCAGGGCAGGTTGACACAAGTCACCTGATCCTGTCAGCTCTTGAATATTTTAGCGTCTTTCTTCGGTGTTCCTAGTTCTCCACCAATCGGAGCGAGTTCTCCCGTGTGAACAGGAAGTGGTGTTGGGTTGTGTGGGTTATAGTGCCGGTTGCTGTGGAAATGTCAGCTGTGGGGCAAGGGAGTTGAAGTTTTCGGGTCCAGCAGCAGATCTATGGATATACACTTGGCCCTGCAGCGAGTCAGGAGGAAGATCTTTAACCTGCAGCAGCAGCTGAAGTAAGAACGAAGGCCGAGCGTTCCCTGGAGGAATGCACGTCGCCCGCCGCCTTTCAGACTAAGATCATCCAATGATAAAAGATGGTGTAAAAAAACAAACCGTAATGTACGATCTGTTAGTGCACATAGTATGTGCTGGAGAGGACACTCGGCTACTACCACACTAAATTTGAGCTCATTATCTGCTAAACTGTCTGAGTTTTATCAATCTTTGTGTTTTCTAAAGTCATTTGGCTGCGGTGGCCATCTTGAATCGTTATGAAGCCAAAAGTTAATCTGTTGTAAACGTCAGCGTAATGTAAAGCTCATTAAAATCCTTAAAGATTTACCAGATGTTTTGCCAACAATTGAATCCCCAAGCTTCACGACGACGACAAACATTATACGAAGGGATTTCCCAACGTTGCGGCAGAGAAAACTTAATTTCAAGGAAACTTAAAAGGCTTATTTCTCAAGACAAACCTGTTGGAAAATGGCAAAAAGCAATAATTTTACCTTTTTTATTTATTTATCCTCCCCTCCTCTGACTCATTTCACAACTCATGTCAAACACAAGTCTGGACTCAGTCTCGGCCACTACCACACCACATTTTAGTTTCATATCTGTAAAATCGACTGGCTTATGTTTGAGTTTGCTGAGGTTGATTAGCTATGTCGGCCATCTTGATTCACGTTGACTGAAAGCTCTTCAGTTGTAGGTGTGCGTTCGACGATTGGTTCCTGAGAGTATCATTGAAATCTGACCAGTGGTTCATGCAATATTTTGCTAACAGACAGATGCATAAACACTCTCAATTGTCCTTTAGATTCTGGGCATTAATGAAGGTTCTGATTGGTCCAGTTTAGGTACTGGTAGCTGGAGACACCTGCCTGAATCTTCCAGAAACCAGTTGGTTAGTTGGTTTAACTAGTCCAACTGGAAGTTTAACTGGTCTAACCCGTACATGTTTATAGTAGACTGGTGTTCCTTTTACCGGAGTAAGACAACCGACACTCCACGGTGAACCTGAAGGTGTGCTTCTTTCAGACGTTTCAATATTTTCACCTAAAGATTCCCGTTGAGTGATCGTGAGCTGAAATCCACTCTGTAGATGTGTTTCTCTGTATCTGGTTAAGTTTGTTTGTTCCTGACGTAAAAACCAGCAGGTGATGTTTCAGATGTGTTCAAATGTAAACTTCTTGTCGGTTTTTGTTCGTTTGTTTCCAGTGAAACCAGTTTGGAGAGCCCTGAGGTGACCAGTCAGTCTGCGTGGAGCCCCAGCAAGGAACTTAGGGAGTCTCTGGTGGACATGTACAGGGGTAAACATAAAAATTTAAAGTTTGTATTTGTACTAAAGTATTACTACAGAGGTACCACCACCTGTCTACATGTTTTCTAGTAGTTTAATGTCTATTTTTTGGTTTAAAACTGAATATGGGTAGTTAAGGGTGTAATGAGTCAGTTTGTCCAACAGGGGGAGCCATGCTTCTTTAAACTACTCCTGGAACGTGTGTGCTTGGTTTTTATAAACTTTTTAAATTTTTTTTACCTTTTCTGGTTTACAAATCTACCTTGTCAGGACCACTAGGCCTTCTGGGGACCAAGACCGGTTCTAAATTGATGAAACGCCATTTTTTGCGTCCAAAGAAGGGTTTAAGGCAAATGTATGGGTTGAGTTTAGGTTGGGAACGTACTGGTGATGGTTAGGTTTAGGGTCAGGCTACAGAAATGAATGGAAGTCAATCAACGGTCCTAATAAGGATAGAAATACAAATAGTGTGTCGGTTAGCAAAATATCTCATCCACCACACCACTGACTCTATTGAAACTCAACATTAATCAATGGCTGAACTGAATGACTTTTGGAGTCCTGATTCAAGATGGTTGCCACAGCTAACTGACATTAGCAAGCACAGAAATGGCTAAAACTCAGTCGGGTCGAGCCGAAGTTTGGTGCGGTAGTAGCCGGGAGTCGTCCCAACACGCACGTCGTTGAGCGCTAACTGGTTGCACGTCTTTTGTTTGAAACTTCAGCGTGTGAGATTTGGTCAAGAGATCGACTTAAACTCTGCTCAGCTCTAAATGTACATTCTGTGGTTTTTTTGTCTTCAGATCTGCATAAATGTTATAAACTTTTCTAAGTATTTAACTTATTTTTTCAAATATTTTCCCAGTAGAAAGACACTAAGATTCTCCAGTTCCCCCAGAAACTTCATTTTCTTTAGAATGTGCTCTACTATCTCCATTTGTGTCCCTTTGCTACTTTTAGCTTTTAGCTGCTGTTCTTCTACTCTAAGCTTGAACTTACTGTATTCATTTTAGCTTTTTAGATATAATTCTACTATTTTACTGGTCGATCGCAACATTTAGCAAGCCTTTAGCTGATACCGTTACCTTTAGCTTCTTGCTCGCTGTGTGACACGTTTAGACACTATTCCTATTTTAACTAGCATTTAGCTTATTTGTTTGCTAACTTCATTACTTTTGAACTTGTATGTAAACTCCTACACTTTTAGCTGGTCTTTGCATACGTTCAGCAAGTGTTTTCACACGTTTTGGTAGTTTTGACTTTCCATTAGTGTGTACTTTATTTAGTGCTTATTTAGCATTGTACCTATTGACATTTAGTTATTTTAGCTTATAGCTACCGTTCTTTTAGATACTAGTTTGCCTTTGATACTTCTAGCTAAACCTTTACTACTTTTAGCTACCCTTTTGCTATGTTTAGCTAACACTTTAATACATTTAACTACCCTTTTACTACTTTAGCAGGCATTTTGCTACTTTTAGCTACCCTCTTGCTGGTTTTTAAAACTAGTGTTTTTGTTCTTTTCACTAGTGTGTACTCCTTTTCGTGTTTATATAGCATTTTGCTACTGTAAGTTCTTGTTTTATCTTACATTTTGATACTATTCTTTGTTTCTGTTTAACCTTTTGGTATTTTTAACTAAACTTTTACTATTTGTAAATACCAGGGATGCACAATATTGGATTTTTGGCCAATATCCGATATGCCGACATGTTAAAACTTCTTTGTCCGATAACCGATACCGGTATTTTATATACTTTCTTTTGTCAGAACATAGCCCTCTTATTTAGGCTTATTTACTTCAAAAAATTGTTTAACAGCTGTAAGAGCTGG